CTCCTTATGGGGATGTCAAATCCGTAAACGTATTCTACAAAGGTTGGGTTTGAGTCCCAACCCTTTAGTAAAGCAAGGTTGGGTTCAAATCCCTACCCTATACTCCCCAAAGTGTTGTAAACTAAAGGATCCACAAAAGCATGACCAAAATGATAAAGAGTTCATCAGACAAGACTGAGTCTGAGATCAAGTCCAAGACTGATTTTGAGACCGAGTCCGTGATCCGAGATTAAGTTCGAAACCAAGTCTAAGACCGAGTCCGAAATCGAGTCTGAAACAAAGTCTGAAGTTGGGTCCAAGATCAAGTATAAGACCAAGTCTGAGGTCACGTCTGAAATTGAGTTTGAGATTGAGTTCGAGATTGAGTCTAAATACTAATATAGGTAGTGGAATGAAAGCCCAAAGCGTGTGTCTCCCAGAGGGGGTTGTAAAGTATAGTAAAGATAATGAGGTCCAAGAATCAATTTTCAAAGAACTCTCACTTGAGGTTGAGCCTGAGGCTTATAAGCCTTGGGTGGGAATGAGTATGGATTCAGGTGGTGCTAAAGGGGCTACCCAAGGAAGTTCTTAAGAGCAACTCCCACTTCTAGAAGGGAAACCAATTGTCGTACTCCTGGCTCATGTGGAGTGGTGCCCCATTTGAGTACTTTGCAACTCATTGCCCCTCACCCTTTTTAGAGGCTTGGGCCTTTCCTTTGGGATGGAAGTGGGGTAATAGGGGTACCCATTAAGCCATAGGGTTTCCCTTTAGTGTCCCAAAGCAAGTGTTGTAGCCAAAGTTTAAGATTTAGAGGGTTCCATGATCAAATTTTGTTGTACCAAGAGATATTAGGAACCTAGAGGTTTGGTATACTTGGTTGCTTGTGTTTGCAGGGAGTGTAACCAAACCTTAAGTCTAGTTTAACCTAGGGAGGGGGATTGGGAGAGAACTTCAGAATTCATAGATGGATGGCTAAACCTCTATTGTTTGTGTAGTGAGTTGTTAAAACCAAGTAAAACCAAGTAAAAGCTAGTACAATAAATGAGAACTTTGGTAAGGGATTTTAACTAAGGTTAAGGCCATAATGGTCGGATAGTCATGGTAAATTTACAAATTAGAAAGGAAAAATTTATAACTTACAGCTATGCTATATTTTGGGAGTATGGCAATTTGAAGGTTATGCCCCATACATATATGGTATACCCCATGAAAAAATATTATATACATAATCATATTTTGATTGCTTATATAGCAATTTCAATTGATAGTATACATAATAATTTTGCATGCAACTTAAAAATAATTTATATAATACTCCATAGGTAATTACATAATTATGACCATAAATAAAACTCTAAAAAATTATAGTAATAAGATAATTGATTATTTCTCATAATAAAATTTAAAAAAATGCATTAATAATTCTTAAATTTCACATGTAGTATATATATGTTGAAATTGATTAAACATTTCTTTTATAGTTTTAGTGTTATGTAGCACTCTTTATTACTCAAATCATGTTATTATTTACCTTTGTACTTTCTTTAATTTTATGTAAAAATAATTAGAAAATTATATAGTAACTTATCCACACATAAATTTATTTTAAAAATTAAATTTATAATTTTTATTTGTAAAAATATTAAAATAAATTAAATATTTTAAAAAGTTTAAGTTAAAATAAGCTTTTTTTTATTCAACCTTAATAGAATTTCACACATAACTCTTAATTTATATTTTTTAATCTTCACAAACAATCATCATACAATGAGATATTTCCCCACTGTAAGTGGGTATAAACTTTTGATTAAAATTTCTTAGTTACTTTAATATGATATATAAATACAACACTCACTTTTCAAATTCTTTAAGTTTTTTCTTAACTTCTTTGATATGAATGAGTTTTAGAATAACATAATCATAGTTTATAACTTTTGGTAGGAACAAGAAAATATTGTTTTTTTAATAAAAAAAATATTTTAGCCTTTAGCAAATACTACATTGTGTAATTCATTGTCAAATATAGTAATATAAGAGGATTTTGTGAATGAACATTGTTTCATATTTGTTATTTATTTCTGAAATTGTTGGAGCCATAATTGTTAAACTTATATTATATTATACGACACACATTGATTTTAATATAAAAATAGAAAATTCATGCAATAAGAATATTGGTCATATATAGTCATATTTTAAAAAATGCTTTTATGTGCCATAAATTCCTTACACATAATTGTATTGTAATTGTAATACTTGATATCAAAACCAAATTCACTTTGTATTAGTTGGATATAATATCAAAGTTGTGTAGTTGATGAGACTAACAAAATTTAGCAGCTTCATATGGGTAATTTCTAAAATTTAAAAGCAATGGCTGGACATCCAAACTACTATGGCAGGGTGATGTAATTAATATTCAAGTCTCTTCATAATTTTTATGGTATGTTATTGACTCCTTAATTACAAAATTCTGCTCATCATAATCAAGATTCTCACAAAGTTGTAATTTCATGTTAACTTTCAATATCCAAACATAAAACTAGGGAAAGCATCACAAAGTTGACTTTATCATATATAATTTCTATTTCCAGCTAGCATTATTGTGTTATTCTAATGTGAATATATCCCATTAGGTATAGCATTAAAATATTATATTGTCAAAGCTATCACTATAAATGTTTTTTGTTGTAATAATTGTTATAATTGTTTTCATTTCTTCCCATAAACAAATTCATATCCTAGGAGACTTATGTAGATTTCTCTAGTGCTTTTAAACTTTTAACTAATCTTTATGTTTATGTTTGATTATATTGTGTATATTATTATAGTTGAATTTTGATATTGATCTATCAAAAAAGCTAATAAATACATTTATAATGTGAAATACTTAGCTTTGGTTTATTTTTATGATAATTGTTATTTTTATTAGTTCAATAAAATTAATATTACAAAATGTTTTTATAACTAAAATTATCAAAGTAACCTAACTCTAATATTATACTATTTAAATATTTGTATCCTTAACCTGGAGCAAATGTATGATAACAAACAATAGTTCTTGCTCAAGGTCAAGGAAAAGGACCTTTTGGACATGCCTTGCTATACTTACTTTGTGTGGATTGGATGCTTTGGAAATCGTGTGGGCAATGGGGTGGTACTATGACAACCATGTAGATATGTTTATTAATTTCAAGCAATTCAATTTTGCTGCTGTCCCCTCTAGAGACCAAGTTCAAGAAACTGGCTAGGCATGCTCTTGGATGCTATTACATGCTTGGCAAATGCAAGTGCCCTGCTCTAGCTCTAGGTCACAACATTCTATGTTTCATGCACATTAGCTACAATCGTGCACACAGGAGGAGTGAAAAGCTAAGATTACAAAAAAGATTAGATTAAACCAATAAAAATACATGCTTTTCTATGGAAATAGAATACAGAAACATTTAACTCAAAAACTCTAATTTATATAAAAGCATAATTCAATATTTATTAAAATCCCACTACTCTAATCTATATATATAAAGCGATAGTGGGGAGGCCTGGATTCTAGGCCCAGGCTGGGGTTGGTAGCCATGGTTTTTGTAAAAGGTTTGCACTAGCCAATTAGAGGTTGGCACACTTTGGCTAACAATTGGCTAGTGCAAAAAAAAGAGAAATGTGACACGTGTTGCATCCCCCTTAACTCAATGCAATTTATAGTGGAGCTCCCTTGCTTCAGGGTGCTTGCATTGCACCAGGCTATGCCGTACCTCCATATCTCCTGGAAAAATTTTCACCCCTACCTGCTCTATCCTATGGCACTGTAGGCCACAATAATAAAGAAGAATGTAAATCCAAGTTTGCAAAAGATCTCCACCACCTTGGCTACATTGTCTTTGGTAGTTATAGCCTACTATCATTGTGTTCCATAAAACCGTCCTTGGATATCATGGGGAAATAAAAAATGTGCTGAGCAGTGGCTATAATTCCACACTTGCCATAAGCATTTGTGACACTGCTCCCTCTTGTGGATCCTAGCATTGAATTCCCTTCCAGTTCTAAATCCACCAAAGTCTCACAAGCCATCAGTAGCACTGCTGCAAATATTGGAAGTGTTTCTTCCAGCCTTATGCATTCAAAAACTTTAAAACCATCTTGCTCTCCCCTATCTTAGTGTATCCCAGTACAGTATGATACAGTATGATGCTTCATCCAATTGAACACTACTTGAGGGTCTAGCATGCTCTTACACTTTGTGGAAGTGTCAACCAGGGTGTTGGACCCTCAGGGATCAAAGCCCACTAGCCAATTAGTGATCATGGAGAGCAAATTCCAAGCCATAATGCTTTTGGCTACCATGGAATCAGAGTTATGCTGACTTTCTTAATTGTGAAATTATCATAGCTTATAAGCTCACTTTCTTAAAGTGAGCTAACATTGAACTCTGGAGGCTCTTGACAGGATGGAGGATTAGATGTTTTTCTCCTGCCTAGGATACAGCAAGCAAGCAAGTTTAAAGCAAATTGTCTAGCAATCATCAGATCAGCATTGACATGGTTGCCAACAGTAGCTATAGCTACATGGCAACAACTTACATGAGCGACAGCCAAAGGTATGTGTTATTTTCTTCTCCCTACCAAAGAAATTTTAGGCTACTAGGTGGGCTCAACAATAAATCCTTGAATCATTTACTAACTATGATAGGTTGTCCAAGAGAACTTTAGCTTCAAGACTTTTTTTGTAAAGTTCTTTCTTCTATATTTTGAGAGCTATCTTTAAACACTTTAGCAATTTAGGAGTTAATAAAGCAGCAAACATAGCGAAGCTCAGCAAATCTCTTGAAATGGCATGAAATTTGCCAACCACCCAGCATTTGCTGGGCAATTGCTAGTATTAATATATGGCATCATAGTGAGCCTCATAAAGCTTTATTTTTTACAGGTTTGTTAATGGAAATGTTTTATTTGAAACAATGTCGTAATAATTTTAATAAAGTAATTTAAATTAAAGCACGGTTTAGGGCTTATCGTGGAGATTTTAGGGCAATGGGGGGCGAGGCGCGAGGCGACCAGGACGAAGCGGAGGACGAGGACGAGGAAGACGATGTCGATTTTGATCCTTCGCTGCCAGGTATTGCGTCCGGTGTGGCCGGCAGTGAAGAAGAAGGATGTGTCGTGGTGGATCACGATAATGCGGATGACAAGGAGGAAGATCAGGGGTTTCTCGAGTTGGGAAGCGACGAGGAGGCGATTCTCGACTACCTGAGCGATGCCGAATGCTCGTCGCCGCACGAGGATGAACTCATGGGCAATGCGCTGGAGGCTCTTCCCGAGCTCCACAGCCCGGCTCACGAGGAGAACAAGTACGCGCTCGAGAGCGGGGTGGCATCTACCAGCGCCGAGGACGAAGAGACCGTAATGGATGCTATATCGAAGCGAACGCGAGCTCACTACTCGCTGGCGGACATGACAATGGATCAGCTGGAGACTTTCTTGCAAGAGTCGGACGAGGACGACTACTTCCACAATGTGGATGACGAGGAGGAGTACCGGAAGTTCCTTGCGGCAGTGGCCCAGCCAGACGAGGGAGAAGGGACGCAGGTTGTCAAGGACGACGAAGATGAAGATGATGAGGACTTTGAGCTTGAGATCGAGGAGATGCTGGAGAGTGATACCGAGCAGTCTCAAAAGGATAAGCTTGTGGAAAGAAGGCCAGAAACGAGGGAGAAGAGACGCGAAAAGATGCGAAACAGGGAGCGGCCTCTCGGTTTCACCAAGAACCCGCTAAGGCCGCTGGTTCCTTACCATGTTGTTTCTTCGGACGTGGCTGGGGAGAGCTCGAGCGCCCGGCGGCCCGAAAGCTGCTTCTCAGCCGCTCAGATCGGACAACTCCACTCCCTTATTCACGAGCATGTCCAGCTGCTGGTTCAAGTATTCTCGCTATGCATATTGGAACCATCTCGGCAGCAAGTAGCGATCGATACCCATCGAATGCTGATGGAGCTTGTCAACAGGCGCTCCGCTTCGTTTCGCAAGCTTCCGTTCCCGGACTTTTGTTTCCATCCTCCTTTTATTCGCCCGTCTGTGGACGATCGACAGCTGGAAGAGCAGAGCATCACAGGAGTGAGAGTTTGGTGTCCTTTTATTGCTGGGCCAGTTCACTCGGTACTCTCTGTTGCTCCGCTTGATCACGTCAAAGAGTTTCTGGACGAAGTTGCAGTCGGTAAGTCGTTTCTGCAAATTCAAAAATCGATTCTAACCTTTCTTATCGATCAGCTGTTCAGGAATTTAGGCAGCGGCACGTCCAAACAGGCGCTTCTAACACCCGTTGTGTTAGAGAGCCGTTGTTTCCACTCCCTGATAATTTGCAACCGAAAAACAGTTCAAGGCCTTCAAATCAGTCTCAAGTGAAGAAGTCACTGGCGGCACTACTTGTCGAGAACACTAAAAAGCAGGTTATTGCTCTAGTTCCTAAAGGCATTGTGGCAGCTGCTCAAAGGTTTCTTCCGTTCTTTAATCCTGCTCTGTATCCTCATAAGCCGCCACCTGCTGCAACGGCCAACCGTTTGCTCTTCACGGACGCAGAAGACGAGTTAGTGTTTTCTTGGTTGAAGTATTTGGTCGGACTAACAACTCTCTGTTTTGCTGTTTCAAGACTACTTGCTATGGGGCTTATGGCTTTCAACACTGATTGGAATGCCATACAGCAACGTTTTCTTCCTACGAAGACCAATCACCAGGTCTGCTCATGTGCATTGTTTCCTTTTTAACTTAAAAAGATCTTACAGATTTTTGTAAGACAAAAAAATCGGAGCTCATCGAGAGCTCCAGAAAACTCTATCAAGGTATGGTTTTCATTGAGCTTAATAAAGGCAAGCTGATTTTTTTTCAGGCCGTTAGGAGGATGAAAAATTCTTCGCTAACAGTAGAAGAGAAAGAGACTATCCAGGAGGTGAGGGTGGACTACCATCTTTCTTCATGGCATTGACGTAGTTTAATGCTTTAGGCCTTAAAATGTTTTAAGTACGACTGGAATAAGGTGTGGCAACATGCTGTTCCTCATCGCGATCCTGCTCTTTTGCCGCGCCAATGGCGAACAGCAATCGGGACGCAGAAGTCCTACAAAAGCGATGAAGCATCTAAAACCAAACGGCGGCTACATGAAGCGAGCAAGCGTCGAATGAGAGCGTTGCAAAAGAACGCAGCAGAATCGCAAGAGGTACTTTCTTCCATGTACATATTAAGCTTGTCTTGAATCTATGAAGGCTTTCAGGATGGAACGGATGCACTTGGGGAGGTTACTAACAGTGACGACGATGGTGGAGATTGCGATGACACTCATATTCATCAAGCTTTTATATACGACTGGAGAGTGGATGCGAGAGTGATAGATAGTCCGGCAACACAAGGCCATTCTGGTGACGCAGCAGTGCATCCTTTACTGACAGGAACAGGGACTCCATCTGGTGGCTGCAGTTCGAGGAAGCGGTCCCGAGCACAGACCATCAGACTTGCTCCTGGACTTCCATCACTTAATCTTCCTCCTCACGTAAGGGTGATATCTCGGTCAAGTATGCATTCGGATGCACAACCGGGAAATTCTCGAGCAGGCCAACATACAAACAGTATTCATCCCCTTCTACTTCAGCCGACCGAGAAGCAGTTACCAGCTGCCATCAGGCCTTTTCCAAGCTACCCCCAAACGGCTTTCCATCCTTTTTTTGGAGCAAAGTCGTCTGGATCATCAGAAAGCGGAAGTGCGTCTCAGGCGATTAACGTTCATCCTCTTCTACGACAACCTCACGTACCACCAAGGGCCAGAGATAAAAGTGGTGAGATTCTCAACAACGATCTCGGCCAGGGAAAACAGTCGGGTGCTAGGATGGAGAAGGTTGACAGCTGCTTGGATAAGGAGAACAGCAAAGACATTTTCATGAACCAGGAAGAACTTAGCGACTCGAAAGACGAGACTGAGGACTGCCGGGTGCAATTTGAATGCGAGGAAATGGGCGATTCGGACAAAGAGTGCTCCGAAGCTGTGGAAGAAAAGGTGCGTGTTATCTTTCAAGTTTAGTTTTCTCATCTGTTTTCATCCATGGTAAATGTAGCAGAAAGAAGAGATCGAGTTTGAGGTGGAAGATATTGACAGTGAATCTGAAAGCATGAGCGAACCAGCTCGAGCGAAAGAATCGTCGTCTTCTGCTGCTACGAATGTGGTGCATGAGGCCGCAGTTCCGAAACTTCATTTCTTAAGGCAATTTGGCAAAGACAATGGTAAGGCACTCTGATCATTACTTTCGCTTAACGCTTTCTATGATGTGCAGAGATCGACACGACTGCTATGGAGGCGGCACATGTTTTAGCGGTGATCCACCAAAATGCTCCCGAATTCAGGAAACCTTTTTGACGAGTAAGACGCGTCGACAGCTGTACGTGTGCTCGGCATTAAGGTACTTCTCGCTTATGTACGACATTTTTTTTAGAATGTATATATAGCTACTGAGCTCGAGAGACGTGTCTGTGATCGGTCTTACGCCGTATACGCGGTTTGCAGGCAACATATGCCAAAATCTCTTGGCACGTCGTTTTACATTTCTGGTGCCAGTTTTCTAATATGTCTGTTTTCCGCCTCAGAAGAAGAAAAACTAGCGTCTGGAAGATTATGGACTTGGTTCTTCTACTTCTTCTTCGCCGTCGTCTTACCTTCCCGTCGTCTTCAACTTTTGTAAGCTTGGCAGTTTCTACCAGTAAAGGGCTTGCATGTTACTAATACTGTGCATTCTGCTAACTTTTTTCTCTATAAGACAATCGAAGTGTTCACACCTGATGCGGTGATGGTATGCTTTCGTTCGCTTTGAACTAAACTGACAGGTTACTTGATCAAATGCAGCGCAGAGGCATTGCTTTTAACAAGGAGACCATTGTTATCGAATCTCCTGCAGCAAGTTCTTCCACACGACAGTTTTAAAAAAGGTGAATAACTGATTAAAAAATTGGATCTTATTTCTGCGTTTTTCACTTACGCTTCTAGAGATTCTGCTGGACCACTCTAGTGTTGAAGAAGTAAGTTGCCAAGTAAAACTGTCCAGCTTGAGCACGTGATTGGTCGTATCGCTGCCGCTTGGCCAAGACAAAAATGCGTCACTCTCAGTCTATCATCAGGTACAAGAGTTTCCAAATAATTTCTGCTTTTTATATCGTCGTTGATAGGTGTAAAAGCTCGGGAGTCGCAATCGCGAGATTAGAAAACATCCTTTTGCTCCCGAGAGAATTGAACACTGGACGGTATTCCTTTGTACGTGTCCCTCTTCGACGCTCTGCTGCTTTCCTGCGCGTGTTGATTGCTGCGTCTTCCTAGATAAAGAAACAAGATAGAACGAGATGAACTTGAGCCCATTAGTGTTGGGTCCTTCTCTCTGCTTCTTCCAGAGATTTCGATTTCGTGCATTTCTCTTTTGCATTTAATAGCGCACTGCTGAGATTCGCGCTGCTCTGTCTGAAAGCTCTAGAACAGATCAAAGATTTCCTGGAAGCGTGAAGAACTTGCTAGAACTAGAAAAGGAGCACTGGCTTGTGGCTTTTAGGCGGTCGTTTCTTCTCCAGCAAAAAATGCAGAGCTGAATCATGGATGCTCTTGGTCACAAGGCGTGCAATTTTGCGGACGTCGAATACTTTTGTCAGGTATGGCTGAATGGTTCTTGAAAACAAGCGTGGTTTTCTTCTCTCTTTTTTCGCAGGAGCTGCCGCATTACAGCGATTGGGAATCAAATTCATTTCTTCCCTTGAATTTTCCGGATCCTTCCTCCGTTCCAACTCTTTGTCACAATTTGGCCAGTTCTCTTCCACATTGCAGCAGCAGCAGCAGCAGCCTTGTCTTGGCCAACCAGGAACTCTTGAGGTCTGAAGTTCCCAACGGTTTCCAGGATTTGGGATTTTTTGGTAGTTTTTTAACGACTATAGGCTCCGAGGCTAATCACTTCACAGGAGCCACTAGCAACCACTTGACAACGCCCTCTGGGAACTGTTGGAACGCATGCGCCGCACAGCTCCCTTATGAAACGGCGAGCAGCTCAATCTCATCTGAAGGACTTGTTCTAGATCCGGATTCTTCCGATGGCAACTTACCAAGACAACGTGAAGCAGCCGGTGAAGCTGACGATTCGTATAAGAAGCTGTCAACAAATGCAGAAGAACAGGCTGTAAGCAGTGTCCTCGAACGCAAAGACGTCTTAGATGGCGGCGCCGCCGAGTTTACCGAAAGGGACAATACCGGGTACAAGACAACAGGATTCCACGGAGGGAAGAGAGGACTACCCGCGAAGAACCTCATGGCGGAACGAAGACGGAGGAAGAAACTCAACGATAGGCTCTACACACTCCGCTCGATTGTTCCCAAGATCAGCAAGGTAAAGTCAGTCAGCCTTTCGTTTTTCTTTCATTATCTCAGTTTCGTGGGTGTAACAGATGGATCGGACCTCAATCCTGGGGGATGCCATTGACTATCTGAAGGAACTGCAGCAGAGAATAGAGACCGTCTACACCGATCTCCAAAGTCCCGTTATGAGCTTTGCAAGCAAGCAGAAGCTTTTGTTCGAGGAAGAGCTTCAAACCAGCGTGACGTTTCCAATGGAGGTAAGCAAACTTTTTTCTTCCATGGATTTATAGTGTTGGGAACCCCAGGTTGACGTTCAGACGAGCGGTGCCAATGCTATAAGCATACACATGTTTTGTGAGCAACGGCCTGGTCTGTTGCTGTCCACAATGCGCGCTCTCGATGGACTGGGAGTCGACGTGCAAGAGGCCGACATCAAGTTCACGAATGGCTTCCAACTGGAAATTTATGCCGAGGTGATGAAACCGCAACTTTTCTAATATTTCTGATGTTCTCTCTTCTGGCTTGCAGCAATCAACGAAAAAACTAGCTAGCCCCGAAGAGATCAAAGCTGTGCTAATGCACACTGCGGGCTACTTCAATCCAGTGATGCCGTGCTAGCTTTGCACTTCTAACATATAAAACCAAAACCCAAGGTAACATCTCAATACAATTCTAATGCTTGTTTATTCTAGTTTACTAGAGCTCGAAATCTAGCCAGCAAGCAAGAAAGTATTCAAGTTTCGGAGCTTTCTTTCTCGAAAAGCTTGCAAACTTTCTTCTCGATCACTCAGAGCTCGGAGCACGTCGCTGGCGCAAACGAGATGGTGGAACCCGGGTTGTCGAAAAGAATGTGATAGTCGCGTTGCATCAGACTGCCAATGACGCTCACATCTCCCGGATCACGCATCGCAGTGGCCACACAAGCCCAGCCGGATCCATTCGACAAGATGTAGTTCTTTTGGCTGAGAACCATCCGAGCGCTCTCAGGGTGGAGCTCCATGGATGGAAACTTGTAGCTCGGATCCAGCGCCGTGCTGTAGCACAGCTCCAAGTTCTAGGCAGCGAGACCTGAGGATAGAAGGCATTCTGGTAATGGAGATCGGAAGATACGTGGAAAGAGTGGCCGAGTCGAACATCACGGCATGGCCACCATCCCCCCCGAGCTCACAGCGTCAGAGTCGTTTCGAGCGATGGCGATGACGCTGAATCCAACCGTGATCGCGCGGAGCTCGGCGAAGTAGTAGTGCCCATGGCCGGGGCTCGACAGCATTGGAATCGTCTGGACGCCCTCGCCGGGGATGCGAGCACGGCCCAGGAAGAGCATAGACGAGAGACAGTAGGAGAACTTGTTCTCCGTGATCTCGGAGTAGTACGAGTGGCGGGAATTGTGAGCTGCGACACCAGCGAGAGCGCGCCTCGCCCCAGCCCGATCACTCCCGAGAGACCTTCGGTTTTTCTCTCGCAGCCAAAGAGGGTGTCGGGGACGGGGATCCTTTCCGTCCAGCGACCTCTGGCGTAAACGAGGGTGACGGTCTCGGTGGCGAGGCGGCCACCGCGCCCGGCGTGGCCGATCGCGCTGGAGGGATAGTAGATGCAAGTGTTGCTGCCATCGGAGCAATGAGAAGGCGTGAGGCGGCAGCGCGAGTCACTGCAGCTTACGTTCTTGAAGCTGGAAGATCGTTCCTCGACCTGCGCCCACACGAGATCCAGCGCCGTGTCGATGATCGCTAGGATCTCTTGCTCGGGCGTTCCGAGGTGGAAGATCGTCCAGCAGCTTTCGTCCCAGGTGGACAGGGAGAAATTGGCAGGGCGCGAGCTCGAGGAGGATGATGATGATGATGATGATGATGATCCGGACAAGAACTTGACGCGCGAGTGGCTGCTCTGGATGGACGATGCCAATTCCCGAGATGGTCGCTTGCGTAGCTCGACTCGGATGCCTTCGATCGAGTCTAGGCGAGCAGCAGCGACGAGGAAGAGTGCTGTGGAAGTGATCGTCAAAACAGGGGACACCATTTGGGATGTGTTCTTGGATCCGGAGAGCTCTTCCAAGAGAGATCGTTGATCAAAATTCTCGACTTCTACGCGCAATTTCCTTGATATATAGCATGGATTCGTCGTGTGAGCATGCCAAGAATATGCATTCGCTAAGGACAACGCATTTTTGCCTTGAGTTGCAAAGATTCCTCTGCTGTGAGATCGATTCTAGGAATCCGCAGTGGCGGAATTTCTTTCCCGCTCTAAAACCCTAGCTAGTGATTCGCGCCATCTCTCAAGCCCTAACCAGTGAGGGAGAAGGGGGAATATCCCCTTCTCCCAATCTCCGTATGAGCCTAGCTAGAAGGGCAAGATCGGTGGTCACTTCCTTCGTCTATACCCTAGGGTTCTCGGTGGCGATCGATCAGCTCCTGTGCGGGCGCGTCCAGGTCGATAAGGCCGATCTCCTCTACCTCATCAAGCAATGCGGCTACGAGCGCGCGCTGGGCAGCGGCCAGCGCCTCGCCGCCTACATCGATCGCGGCCTCTACCGCAGCGACCGGTACGTGCTCAATCTCCTGGTGGACATGTATGGCAAGTGCTGCCAGATCCGCGACGCGCGCCTCGTCTTCGATCGCATCGCGCCCAAGAACGAGTTCTCCTGGACCCAGATCGTCAAGGCGTATGCCCACAATGGGCATTTGCTCGAGGCCATACTGTTCTTCCGCAAGTCCCTCCTGGAAGGCATGGATCCCTCCGACTACGCTTGCAGCATCGTTATCGGCGTGTGCTGCAGCCTGGGATCGCTCCAGGATGGGCGATTCGTGCACGCGGTGGTGAGAGATCGAGGCTACGAATCCGATCCCCACGTCGCGGCGGGATTGATCCACATGTATAGCAGCTGTGGATGCATGGACGAGGCGAGCACAGCCTTCCGGAGGACGAGCCACCGGGATCGATTCATCTACACGGCGATGATCGGTGGATTCGCGCAGGCCGGGCAGTGCCGCGAGGCGGTCGTCCTCTTCCGGGAGATGGATCTGGATGGGATCACCGGCGACAACATCACGTTCGTGAGCGCGATCGGGGCTTTCCAGGACTTGGGCGATCCGCGGCAGTGCCGGGCGATCCACGAGTGCGCTGCGCAGGCCGGGGTGGAGTCGGACTGCCTCGTCCAGACGGCGCTGCTCAACATGTACTCGCAGTGTGGATTCGCGGAGGAGGCGCTCCAGGTCTTCGGGGAGATGGCGGAGAGAGACAGGGTGGCGTGGAGCTCCACCATCGCGGCGTGCGCTCGCCACGGCTATGGACGCCAGGCCATGGAGCTCTTCCGCCGGATGGAGCTCGAGGGGATCAAGCCCGACATCGTGGTGCTCTCCAGCCTCCTGGACGCGTGCTCCAGCGTCGAGGCGCTGGCCGAGGGGGCGATGATCCACGCCAGGATCATCGCCGGGGGCTTCCACCGCGACCGCATCCTCGACGCCGCCATCCTCAACATGTACGCCAAGTGTGGCAGCGCCGCCAGCGCCAGGCGCGCCTTCGACGAGCAGTCCCCGGACGATCCAGTCTCGTGGAACGTGATGATCGGGGCGTGCGCAAAGGCGGGCCTGGATCTCGAGGCGATCGAGAGCTACCGGCAGATGCAAGCGCTCGGGATAGATCCCACGCCCGTCACCTTCATCACTGTTCTAGCGGCGTGCAGCCACTCCGGCTTCCTGGCCGAGGCCAGGATCCAGTTCCTGTCGATGATCCAGGACTTTGGGATCGCTCCCGACGTGGATTGCTACTGCTGCCTGGTGGATCTGCTGGCCAGGACGGGGGATCTGGAGGCCGGGGAGGAGCTCATGCTCAGCATGCCGTTTGAGCCGTTTGAGGCCGGGTGGACGAGCTTGCTGAGCGCTTGCGGCGTCCATGGTGATCGAGGCCGAGCCACGCGTATCGCTGGAGCTGGAGCGAGCATCGCCCCCGAGACGTCTGCGCATTACGTGCTCCTCTCCAACATGAAGAGGGAGGAAGAATGTCTATAATCTATGCTACTCTCTCCCAAAACAAAAGAGTTCCAATCCCAAGAAGTGTTGTTCTTCCAAGTCTTCCACGTTTGAGTTTGTTTGACTTGAAATGCTGCTTGGACTTTTTCTTCTTGGACTTCAAGGTGGTGGTCACTATTTTATTTTTCCCATGGTTTAGCCTTGAGATTAGACTTGTTAGAAAGTGGTAGAGTCCTATAACAACACTAATACAGTGTTAAAATTATACGAAGCGAGCTCGAGAGAGAAAAAAATATATCTTTGCCTGAAGTCAGCCTAGCGTCTAGCCCAGATGTGTAGAAATGTGAGCAGTGATTCTATAGCGCAAAAGGGCATCGATCGATCATTCTTCCAATCCGATGAAGGTACCGGCTTTGCTCCTCTCTGCCGGCGGCAATTCCACCACGAATGTGCTGCTGGTCGGGACAATCTTCCTCCTCGCCTCCCTGCTCGTCATCCTCGGGACCAAGAGCAGCAGCAGCAGCAGCAGCAGCGTCGAATTCGTGATGCCCATCACACAGTCCTGCGAGAATTCGTCGTCCAACTTGTCAGTGTCCACGAATTTCGGCCCAGCTGCGGCGATTGATCCAATTCCTGCGCCAGAGGAGCAGGGGACCGGGATACACTCCACCGTCCGGCATCTCCATCCATTCGGCATCGCCTCCTACACATTCGTCCTCACCGGCGGCTATAGAACCCAGCGCAGATCCTTCGCGGTCGTGGGCCTCGCCGCCAAGTCTCTACACGTCTTTGGCAAGCCCAATTTCGCGTGCGAATGGGTGCCCGACTCCACCACCTCGGACTCTCCTTCCATCTTTGGCAGCGCAAGAAAAATCTTGCCCGACTGGGGCTATGGCCGCGTCTACACCGTGGTAGTCGTCCACTGCTACTTCAAATCCTCCGTGGGCGAGGACGGCAGCGGCGGGCGATTGATCCTCCATGCCGGCGAGAAGGGATCTCCCTCGCCGCCCTCCAAGATCACCGCTCTCGTGGAAGCACCCGGATCATACTCTCCCTCCCAGTTCCTCCCAAAGTACGACTACCTCTACTGCGGCTCCTCGCTGTTTGGCGACGTCAATCCACAGCGGCTTCGCGAGTGGATCGCATACCACGCCTGGCTGTTCGGACCGAGATCGCATTTCGTGCTCCACGACGCCGGCGGCGCGCGATCCAAGGGCGTGAGATTGGTGCTGGAGCCTTGGGTCCGATCGGGGCGAGTGACCGTCCAGGATTTTCGCGAGCAAGCGCGCTTCGATGGCTACTACCATAACCAGTTCCTGGTCGTGAACGATTGCTTGTTTCGCTACAAGCACGCCGCCAATTGGACCTTCTTCTTCGACGTGGACGAGTACGTACACGTTCCCGGCCCATCCACGTTGGATTCCGTGCTGAACGAGCTTGGCCAAAAGTACTCTCAGATCATCTTTAAGCAGACCCCCATGGGCCACAATGTGTGCATCGACAGCAATCGTACGAACTTATCTAGGTGACTCTCTCTCTTTCTGTGTGTGTGTGTGTGTGTGTGTGATTGTTTAGAGCTAGAGTTCCTTTTAGATTGCCTTGGTGTTTCTTCTATATCTTACGGTCGCTTGATCTTCTTCTTCCAGGCAATGGGGATTTGAGAAGCTGGTTTTCATCAACGTCAACGTCCAAAAAACGTTGCATCTCGAGCGAAAGTACGTGTTGCGAGCGCCACTGGCAGATTCCGCAGGAGTCCATCTCTCGCAGAATTTAAGAGGGAAGAGCATCTACTCGAAAGACCACATTTCTTACTACCACTTCCACAACACCATCAGCGAACACCAGGAGAATTGCCGAGAGTTTGTCAAGGTTCCCAAGCACAAGACCTCCAAAGTGTGGCTCAACAAAGTCCCGTACCTTTACGACGATAGATTGAGCTCTTTGGCTGATAAGGTGAAGGAGTTTGAGCTACAAACCATTGGTCCAGTAACACTGTAGAGAAAAAAGATTAAACAGGTCAGAGCCATTCTTTGTAAAGAACTAGAAACTTATATGATACCCGAGGCATACAGGATTTCCAACTGACAGAATGTTTATTGCTGATCAAATGCGTGCACGTACATGGCATTTTCCTGTAGGAAGCAAATTAACTTCACAACACTGACTGGATTTGCCGCTATGGAGCCGTGGTTAAACTAGAATATAAAAAGGGATTTAGTACCTGTTAAGGAGGGAGATCTTGGTTCTCCTCTATCAGAGCAAGTGTTGTCCTGGAAAGCTGAAGATCGGGTGGATATGGTGAAAAGAGTAGATAAGAACATCATCATGCGATTCGGCTGCCACCTTGAGTTCGTGAGCGATTTAGGTACGCAGTTTATTAATACGGTTATTGCAGACACCGTATCCTCCTTAGCAAATTGCGAAGTTGAGCGGACAAACAAGACGCTATATGCACTATGACTAAGATTTGCAACGCTGGGACTTGAAACACTAGCGGTGCAAATCTTAGTCAGAGTGTCACATAGTCTCTTGTTTGCCACTCAACTATTGTGCAGAGAGTCGATGAGTTGGGCATGAGAGCTGCCTCTACCTCAATCAGGCAGCCAAAGTCTTCAGGGAGACTCGCCACAGCTTCCTGCCATGGACCTATTCTGTCAGATGGAGCTCGCTTGACATCGTAGTCCTCTTGAATGGAAAGGTCATCTCGATCGCCTCTAGATCCAGGCCCGCCTCTACTAAAGCGCAGATCACCACATTCCAAGAGACTGGACTTCTAGTCAACAATGGTGTCAAAGGATTCAATTGTGGTGGAAGCGGTGATGATGATTATCGCCCTCTCGACTAGAGCCTCGATGCTGATGCAAGCTCTCGGGATAGATCCCACGCTATGTAGTTGTTCTAGCACTGCTGCCGCTGGCCATATTTTGAGTTTGTAACTTATAAGCAAAAGGCAAGATTGAACCTTTCGTTTTATATTTCTCAAATATTAAACCAGAGAAGGAGCCGAGAACTCCAATCCAAAGGAATATTGTTGTTGCTAAGTCTTCACCCACGCCTTGAGCTTTTCTCGACTTGAACTTCTGGGACTTTAGGCTTTGGATCTTCTTCTTCTTCGCCACCATTTCTTCCAAGTAGTTCATGATTTTGTTCTTCCCATTTTCAACGCCTCTCCATGATCTGCTCAGCAGTGAAGTTAGATCCATGTCCATGATCTGCCGGGGAGTGTAAGTTTGTGTCCTGACGTGAAAAGGATACCATTATACGTGAAAAGGAAACTATTATAATAACCGCTAATGTGGATTCCATGCTTGCAAGACGCATTCCAACTTACAAAACCTCGACTTTACTTTCATTTGAAGCGGCGAGGACCGAAAAACTCGAAAAAATCTGAAAACGATTAATTAAAACAATGGCTTTGCGAGTAAGTATATAAAATTGAGAAAAGCGTCCGAGAGAATCGCCAAAAGCACCACACCAGTGGTGGGATGGAATTGAAGCACTAGCAACCACGATAACGATATGACCTCGTCCGTACGAGACGGCGGGTGTGCCGTACGCCTCACAATGGGCCACGCGAACGAGAGAAATAGAAGAGAAAAGAAGCTATCTATTTCTATGCCGTAAGTCAGAAGGCGTCTGCGAGGAGCCCAGCCGTGTAGAAATGTGAGAATCGACCACTACAGCGCAAAAGGGCATTGATCGATCGTTCTCCCAATCCAGAATTCTCAAGAATTCCATTCCATGCCACATTCCAGAATCGGATCGATCGATCCAGCTTTCCAGATGAAGGCACCGGTTGCAGCGCCGGGTCTGCTCCTCCTCCACGCCTCCGCCAGCGGCAAATCCACCGCGAATGTGCTGCTGGTCGGGACAATCTTCCTCGTTGCCTCCCTGCTCGTCATCCTCGGATCCTTCACGACCAAGAGCAGCGGCAGCAGCAGCAGCAGCGTCGAATTCGTGATGCCCGTCACGCAGTCCTGCGAGAAATCGTCGCCCAGCTCGTCAATGTCCAAGAATTTCGTCCCCGCTGAGGCAATTGATCCAATTCTTGCGCTCGAAGAACAGGGGACCGGGATACACTCCAATGTCCGCCATCTCCATCCAATCGGCGTCGCCGCCCACACATTCGTCCTCACTGGAGGCTATAGAACAGAGAAGAGGTCCTTCGCGGTCGTGGGCCTCGCCTCCAAGCCCCTCCACGTCTTTGGCAAGCCCGAGTTCTCGTGTGAATGGGTGCCCACCACCTCGGCCTCCCAGCCCACCTCGGACTCTCCTTCTTCTTCTTCCATCTTTGGCCGCGCAAAGAGAATCTTGCCCGACTGGGGCTATGGCCGCGTCTACACCGTGGTAGTCGTCCACTGCTACTTCAAGTCCTCCGTGGGCGAGAACGGCAGCGGCGGGCGATTGATCCTCCATGCCGGCGAGAAGGGATCCGCCACGCCGCCCTCCAAGATCACCGCGCTTGTGGAAGCGCCCGGATCATACTCTCCCTCCCAGTTCCTCCCAAAGTACGACTACCTCTACTGCGGCTCCTCGCTGTTTGGCGACATCAATCCACAGCGGCTGCGCGAGTGGATCGCGTACCACGCCTGGCTGTTCGGACCAAGATCGCATTTCGTGCTCCACGACGTCGGCGGCGCGCGATCCAAGGGAGTGAGATCAGTGCTGGAGCCTTGGATCCGATCCGGGCGAGTGACCGTCCAGGATTTTCGCGAGCAAGCGCGGTTCGATGGCTACTACTATAACCAGTTCCTGGTCGTGAACGATTGCTTGTTTCGCTACAAGCACGCCGCCAATTGGACCTTCTTCTTCGACGTGGACGAGTACGTAAACGTTCCCGGCCCATCCACGCTAGATTCCGTGCTGGACGAGCTTGGCCAGAACTACTCGCAGATCATGTTTGAGCAGAACCTCATGGGCCACAATGTGTGTGTAAATAGCAATCGTACGGACAGATCCAGGTGAGAACCTCTCTCCCTCTCATCGCAGAAAAAATTCGTAGAAAGATCGTCTCTCTGGTCGTAGACGTAGAAAGATCGTTTAGAGCTTTCAAGTTTCCAGAGTTCTCTTTGATCCTAGATCGTCCTTCAAGTTCTTACGATCGCTTGATCTTCTTCCAGGCAATGGGGATTCGAGAAGCTTGTTTTCATCAACGTCCAAAAATCGGTGCGTCTCGATCGAAAGTACGTGCTGCGAGCGCCGCTGGCGGATTCAGCAGGAGTCCATCTCTCGGAGAACGTAAGAGGGAAGAGCCTCTACTCGAGAGGCCAGATTTCCTACTTCCACTTCCACAACACCATCACCGAGCACCAGGAAAATTGCCGAGAGTTTGTCAAGGTTCCCAAGAACAGGACCTCCAAAGTGTGGCTCAACAAAGTCCCGTACCTATACGACGATAAATTGAGCACCTTGGCTGATGAGGTGAAACAGTTTGAGCTCCAAACCATCGGTCCAGTTACACTGTAGAGAAAGAAGATTAGACACATTCTTTGTAGAGAACTAAAAACTTGTATAGTATTTTGTGATACCGCGGCAGGAATCAGGATACATCCAGGATTTCCAGCTGATAGAATGTTTAGTGCTGATCAAATGCGTACATAGAAACGAAAGCTTACGTTCCACGACGAAACCAGCTGTTGCATCCAGCCTTTCAAGCTGACGTTTCAGATGTCCTGTAAGTCTCAAAGGAAAAGAAAAAAGGAAAAGATTGAAAGTGAATACTAACTTGAGCAGTGTAGACTGCGCGTCGGTTGGATCCAATGCAAAATTGACAGACGCCGACGAGTGTGAGAAAATTTTGGCCTGTTTCTTCGTACCAGAGGCCCGCGTGTGTTAGAACAAACTTATAAAAATCTGGTGGTCACCTTGCAGAAGTTGACAAACTTGGATGTTGACGCAGAAACCGCAACGCTGCCTCGCGTTGCCAGTGAACACGGGCACAAGAAAGAATTTCTGTTTGAATCACTTCTGTTGGTAACAATAATCATAATATCACACAAAAAATATATGATTCAACTAACTTGCTCAGAGAGATGTGCCTGCACAGAGGAAGAACAAGATCAGTCGCAAATATCACGTTTTTTTTCTCTCTCTCTTTACCGTCAAGCTATGAGATCAGAGATGGTTTTGGTCAATCGAGACGTCGCAGAAGGTATTCGACTTGGACGTCCTTTGTCAAAGGCATCACCCAATCTCCGTAGAGGCGAGCAACGAGCTTGGGTTCTACTTTGTAAAGTGGAGTCGGCTTGGTTCCATTTGCGTCAATCTCTTGCCCGTAAGTTCTTGCTTTGTGCTCCACGCGCTTTTGCACGCTCGCCTCTACGCTCTCAAACGTGACCAGCTTCATTAATTCTTGCGGGTCCTGGTGAGAGAAAGGCTAGAAGTCAAGACACGTCTTGAAAGAAACTGTAAACACCTGTGCTCGGATATGAGGTTCGAATAGATGTGGTGACTCACGAAACTTGGCCTCGGCAACGAACTTCCCGTAGTGTATTCTCTTCGAGAGGGCCTGAAAAGGAAAAAGAAAAGAAAAGGTCGTTGAAGGAAATCTCGACTTTGTGCCGCGAAAGTACAAACCTGGAGACACTTCACGTCACAGACCGCTGTTGAGCCATAATTGCCATCATCCCCGTCAGATACAAAGGAAGGCAGCAAGTTGCTATAGTACATTTTCCAGATCCTGGTGTTAATGTTGACGGCTTTGGCCGCTTGATGGAGCACCTGCACAAAAACAAGCTTTCATTGCTTGGATCCCAGATATGGCCCATGTCTCACACCTTGGGATACTCGAGTGGAGGAAGTATAGGCTCCGGCAAATCATCTGGGAAAAAAGCGTGTTCATCAGGGGCGCAGTATCTTCGAACCTGCCAAACGAAAAAGAAAGAAGACTTCACAAAGTTATCTCATGGTGATCATAAAAGAAACGAATAGACAAAGAGAGAAACAAAGAGAAGACAAAAAGCTTGCCTTGGCATGGAGGCACTCGGTTTCTTTGAGCATGAACTCCACCAGTGAGCCATCAAAGCCAGGAATGCGAAACCTGTTAGGATCATACGTCCGCGTATTCATCTTGTACTGCGCTCGCTCGATCAAGCTAAAGATAATATTATCCTCTTGTTGGATCAACGAGTCCCGGATGGCATCCAGGGTCAAATTCTCGCTCTCGTCCTTGACACCACCTTCCACGATCCTAAAACACTCCATTATCACTCGAAAACTAGGAGCGCGAGGCACATACCCGAGAGAAGCGCTGGCCCTGGGATGGATGAGCGAAATCAGTGGCGCGCACTGCCGCATTGTCCTCCCGAAGCTCGCTCTGGCTGGAATTTCGATTCTCTGGCGAGGCGCGACGAATCCAGCTCTGGCGCTCGGCGGCGACCTAGAGAGGAGTCCCTGTTGAGCCATAGAAAGATCCAAGTGAGAAAAAACCTAGCCGCGCTTTCGCTCTCTATTCCAACCAGTCAAACGAAACTCCAAGAAGAAAACTTGCCACGTTTTATTACGAGGAAGATGAAGACCAAAAGTAAATCTGGAGAGAACCAAAGGGTCCCGGATTAAAGGCACAGACCTCAAAAAGTTCTTCCCTCTTGTTCTTCTTACACGTAGAGACCATGATGTGTCGATGGAACAATTTACTTCTAGCCTCGCGACTGCCCAGCTCGGGATGAAAGAATGATCCCCACGATCAATCCGTAGAGAGCCAGCGCCTCGGCGAAGATGAGGATCAAGATCATGCCCACGAAGAGCTTTGGCTGTTGAGCGTTGGCCCTGTGAAAACGATGGAAAGTGAGAAAGCCAGAGAAGAAAACAGAGTGGAGTTTCCAGCAGGGAAATCTTGTGAGGACCAAGCTCGCGATCTTCAAATGATTCGAAGATCATTGAGCCCAGTCCAGAGATCGCTCTGGCTTATAGTTTAGTTGAGCTAAAGCTGGAGATAGTCAGCAGACACTCGACCGTCTACAAGCGTGAACTATTCGAAGCAGCAAAACGAAGAAAGAGTTTGGAAACTTGACCTCACTCCAGCGTCTCCAACAATTCCAATCGCCATCCCAGCCGAGAGGCCAGCAAGCCCGCAAGCCAATCCGGAAGAGAGATGCGCGTAGCCATCGAAGAGGTAGTAGGATTTCGCCTTGGGATTGATCCCAGTGCTGATAATCACCGCGATGATAAGGCCGTAGATGCCGAGAACTCCAGCCATCACCACCGGGACGATCGATTTCATCACGAGCTCCGGTCTCATGACGCCCATGGACGCCACGCCCACGCCGCTCTTGGCAGTGCCATAGGCAGCTCCCATGCCTGTAATCGATTGATCCATCGCATTGCGATTAGATCAAAGAGGAAAAAGAATCTGGCTTACAAGAGAAGACGAGAGCTGCGGCAGCGCCGATGAATCCAAAGAAGGGCGCCGTCTCATCGCCACTGAAGGCGTCCATGCCCGACGACATTATTGCGAGCACGAAACCCTAGCTCGCATAAACCCTAATTTCTCCTATATCAAAATCTTTCCAAATTTTCGCGCCCAAATGGCTTAGCTAGGGTTCTTGTTGGCTCATGGCTTCTTCTTCCACGATCGCCATAGGTTTGCTTCGATTCCGGGCGGCATTTAGTTTCTCATGATCTCGTTCTGTGTGCAGGCAACTGCTCGGTGGAGATTTCCGGCGACATCGATTACGAGAAGAATGGGAGGAGGGTTTCTTTCAGCATTCCTGGATTGGGGACTGTTCGTGTGAGCGCTGCCGGTAAGTTGCTAAGGCTAATCCTGCAGTTAAAGCGCACGGATTCCGGTTTTCTTACAGATTCAACCAGCATTGTTCCTGTCAATCCCAATGCTCTTGACAGTGGTTAGTTCTATAGACTAAATGTTAGTTCTTGTGAGCATCGTGTGTTCATCCATCGTCTTACAGCTCGAACCAGCATTGTTCCTGTCCATCCTAATGCCCTTGACAGTGGTCAGCTCTATAGACTAAATGTTTGTTCTTGTGAGCATCGTGTGTTGTTCTTACAGCTCCAACCAGCATTGTTCCTCTCAATCCCGTAGCTCTTGATACCACAGGGCAGCAGCTCCTGGAGGTATGCTTCCTTTCGTTTTAACGCCCTAGTTAACTTGGATCCATCTTCTCAAACGGCAGGACGCTCTCGACCTTTACACCAGCGAATTTTCTACGTCGTGCGGTGCTTACATTTTTGGATGTGTGAAAGATGGAAAGAACGTCACTCTGGTCCTCGCGGAACACCAACACGCAAGTCACCAAACTCTAAGAGTTATTGATGCTTATGCTTTGTTTTCCTTTACAGGTAGTCGCCGCAATGACTTACCAAATATCTTTCTCAGACGAGCTTTGTGCTGTGGTTTTACTATCTGCCGTACGAAGTAGTCACCAACGGAAGGCATGTTTCCTATATTCTTTGCGGTAGTCTTTTAGCTTTTTAATTGTCGTTCTCTCATTCTATAGGGGTTAGGGACACGTTTGTGCATCGAGTTCCAGAGAAGGCTGTGTGATATAGGCGTATCAACAGTGTACTGTTTTGCTGGCAGGTCCGAGTCCTTCTGGTCTAAACAGGCAATCTCTTCTGAAAAATATGTGGATATGTATTCATTGCTATGTTTGAAGCAGGGATTTAAACCGTTGGCTGATGGTAGCACGAAACCAAAGTTTGCTGAACCGCTAGCGTCGTTTTTTACAAGTGATACCAAAGTGATGATTTTTGAGAAGTTTCCTCGAGCAGTTCAAGGTTCAACTAAACCATCTTCAACGCAGCAACATGCAATGCAACAACATACTGGTAAAACTTGCGGTTCGTAGTTGTTTTTCTTTACGGGATGCTTTCAGATCCCCCCGGGACTTCAAAGGCCGTAAGGAAAAAGGGCACTAGCAAAAGAAAACGGAACGAAAAGGGTGATCCCTCCTGCCAACCGTTACTTGCATTTTCTCAGCCACCTCGTGATTCTCCAGACACTGCAGCTGGAAAGAATGTGGAACCAATCCAGACATGCGGGGAAAGAAGTCCAGTGGTTTTGTTTATGAATATGGCTGACGAGCAGCGCAAGCGACAACTAACCAAGGTGCAAAGCTACCGGTTTACAAGCTTTGAATCAAGAGGTATCTGTTTGCAGTTTGTCGAAACGCTTGGAGGGCAAGTTACAGATACAGGAAGCAAGTGCACTCACGTCTTGACAGGCCAAGTTCGACGAACTATGAACTTCTGTGCAGCTGTTTCTGTCGGGTAAATTGTAATTGTTTTTCTCTAAATTGTGTGAAATGTCTATGTGATAGAGCCTGGATTTTATCGCCAGAATGGTTACGATCAAGTGTCGAAGCTAAAACATTCGTAGGTAAGAACTTTGGAAAGAACATTTTTTGATCGATAAACTTTGATGATCAGATCCTATTCCTTTCGTTCTGGAGGATGCTGACTTCAAGGCAAACTATAACACTGACGTCGCAAGCGTGATCAAACGCGCAAGAGCGAAGCCACTGTTTCAAGGATTACAAGCTTGTCTGACCCCTCATATCGATCAAGTTCTCCGTGAGCTTATCGAATCTGGCTGTGGCAAGGTATGCTTTTTCCTAGCTTCATGGGAAACGAATATGATCGTTTTCATTTGCAGGTCGTGTCCCGGATTGAGGAGCTTACTATGCCAGTGTCAAAATCATTCGTCATCTCTTGCAAAGCCGATGCCATGCAAGCTAGAAACGCTTCAAGCGTCGGGCTTCGAGTCTTTGACACGGAATGGCTGATTCGCTCTGTAATGAAACAAGAGCTGGATATTGAGGTCAAGGACGACCTGACGATTGTCACCACGGTTACTTAGCTACGAAGCGTCATCCTTTTTTTCGTTCGGGGATTTTTTAAGCTCTTTTTCCCATTTTTCTCTCAGTGTTTGATTTTATTTGCAAGTAATAAATTCACCAACAAGAAGATTGTATCAAGTAGCAGAATATTATGAAGAAAAGAAAAAATATCTTACAGTCCACATTAGAAACTCAAGATTATTACTCTTGAAGTTTGACAGCCGAGTTCAACACAGTGGAAGGATCAAAGGCACGAAAAATGATATATAGTATAGTATAGTATGGATTTTGGTTAAGGCTTGATTGAGGTAGCATTTCATTAAGTTCTTATAGATTTATGTATGAATTAAAAAATAATAATTAATAATAATAATAATAGTTATTTAGTCATTGTAATGCAAAAGTATATATTTTTGCATTAGAATTACTCCTAAATCATAAAGTACCTAAATGGCAAATCACGTGTCTTTGGACCTCATAAATAGTGTCATCCCAATAAACATTAAAACTACAATCATAAATTCTTTTCTATATTATAAATTATTATTTTATAAATTATGAATTATTTCCTATAGGGCATATATGTTCTAATTCTTGTTATCTACTTTTTAATTTTAAATTATAGGTAGTAAGTCTTTCTGAATATCCAACTATTGTCTTTCAAATAAGAGAAAGAAAAATAAATTATTCATTACTTTTCCAAAAACAGTGTAACTGTTGTATTTGAGGCAACAACCAGGCTATTAGTGTGTTTCAGAACCTTAGGACAAACAAGAAATAAGGGGGGGAAGGGTGATTATTTTACTAATCAACATTATTAACCAATCAGTTAATCAACCTTAATCCATACCTATTAACTTCCTCTTAGAATATTTCTAAATAATGTCTTTAATATTTTGTTGCATTAATCTGCATAATTTTAACTATTATATCTACATTTGAAAATGTGGTGCAAACTCTTGAACTATTATTAGATTTGAATTTGATTGGAAATGAATTTGTTGGTAGACAACACATTCCCTACTACTACAAACCAATTAACACCAGCTGAACAAGTATTTTATCTTATGGTCTTTAGTACATATTGTAGCAAATGCATCAAAAGGGAAGGCTCAAAAGTAGTGATTGAGAGGACAAAAGAAATAGCTAAAAAAATTAAGATTGAGTGGAAACACCAAAAGGAAGTCACTGATAAGAAAGTGTATTTATTTGAGAACTTAGAGCCAGGGAGGTGGTGAATGCTAAAACTGAGGCTCATGTGCCAAACAATAGCAGCTAAATTACCAAAAAAAAATTAAAAAAATTAAAAAAATGAATATATACAAATAGTTGAGAGGTTGATTGTGAGTGACACATGCTAGAAGGAATTCATTTTTGGTCATGAAATAAATAATTACTAAAATAGTGAGAAGATAATACACATAATTGGATAGGAGTAATATTTCCTAATAAGCTTAGACAAGGATCTATTCATCTAGAACAAAGGGAAAATATATGTCCTTTAGAAAAGATTTGTTTTTATATTATAGAAATTTTCATATATCTTAGTGCTTTCTTTGATGGGGATAAGGAATATCATGGATAGATATTCCTTTCTCTGGGGTAGGCCTTCCCTTAAAATCTTGCTAGTATGGCATATAAAAATTTTCTCTAAGCAATGTAAAACTTAAAAGAAAAGAAAAGAAAGGGTAAATACTTTAAAAGTAATATTAGATGACCTAGGTAATTTGGAAGCAATTAGGGCATTTCTTTTTCTCTCTCACTCGCTTTATGCCTACGCCTCTATCAAGATGTGCTAACACTCCAAGCGTAGCTCTAAAGTTATGTACAATAGCTTAAACATCACCTAGGGTTGTGCAAGAACAAATGCCATTGCTACCTTCTACTAGATCAAGCACACCCTCAATTGGGTGGAGTGATCTTGTCCTCACACCACTGCCATAAACTGTCGACTCCACTTTCAAAGCATTATTGACACAAGATTCCACTTGGGCATCTCCGTTGGCACTGCACTCTATTGTGAGACACAAAATCCCTAGGCCCCAAAGTGGAGTTGGAAGGGTGCCATGTGGTAGTGGCTGAAGCGAAAACCAAACAAGCGTAACACGTTTGGACTAAAAGCTCCAATTTGAAAGGTCGAGAGTGGGAGTGGAACTCTCAACGAAGTGCTCAAGGAACAAGCACGAAGCAAGCAATAAGTGAGTCTCTAGAAAAGGGACACTAGAGGACCAACACATGACACGTGGTAGAGTCCGAGATGGAGTTCAAGATGGAGTCCGAGATGGAGTTCGAGATGGAGTCCGAGATGGACCCAAGATGGAGTCCGAGATGGACCCAAGATGGAGTCCGAGATGGACCGAGACGGAGTCCGAGATGGAGTCCGAGATGGACCTGAGATGGAATCCAAGATGGAGTCCGAGAAGGACCCGAGATGGAGTCTGAAGTCAAGACTAAGACAGGGACCGAGACCGGGACTGAGACCGAGACCGAGACCAAGGCCGAGACTGAGGCCAAGGCTAAGGCCGAGACCGAGCCCGAGCCCAAGTCCGAGTCCAAGTCCGAGTTCGAGTCTGAGAGGGTGAAAACCCAAAGTGTTTGTCTCCCAGACCCTAGGGGGTTTGGTGAGCTCCAAAACTATAGTAGGGGGAGGACTGTAGTGGAGCTAGTGTTTGGCCAGGAAAGGCCAGTTCGGCCCAAGAAGGCTGTACCCAATGTTGGGTGATGAGCTGCCCATTGGAAAGTCCAAGACTAGAGTGAACACGGACTGACAAGGGGGGTAGCTTAGTGAAGTGTTCAAGAGCTGGCTCTAGTTCCCCCGGGAGATCGACTAGCTGATGCTCCCAGTCCAAGTGTGGGTGGCACTACCTACTTGGATACCAGGTGTGGCTCAACGAAACCTCACTCTAAGCCCATGGCTAGAGCACACAAAAGCGGAAGGCGGGGAGAGTACCCAGGAGGCCCGCATAGGGCCGCAGTGTTTCAAAATGTTGTCCCAAAGTCTCAGACTATGGAAAGGAAGATGAGTAGCCCTCTAGTGCGGTGACCAAGGGCATAGTCACATGGTGAGGAAGTCCCAAAGGACCATGGGACTTAGTGGTCAAGCCTATGAGCCTTGATCCAATGGCAGTATTGGCGAGCATGGCCATGGACAGAAAGGGACTTGGTGAGGACCGGAAAGGGGATATTGGGGAAGGCTATTCCCCATGTTTGTAAGCATCTTAAAGATGCTAAGGAGTGGATCTGGGATGACCACTCATGGACAGAAGGCCTAGTCTTGGAGACACAGGGTTGCAATACAAGTGGTGTTGGACCACCAATGTGACCAAGGTGAATGGGCATGGCCTAGTGTAACGGACTGGTATATTGATGGTATCTTGGGTGTCGGTCATTGTAGCGCATGTGGTTTTGACCCTTTATTCTATGGTGATTTACCATAGGATAACACCACAAAGCAGAACCTAAACCCTCTTTATGCCACGTGTTATATGCCACGTGTCCAAAGGACAGTGGTGTGGAACCCGAGGTTCAGGGCCTTGGGCCATTGAGTGAAGGAACGGTGCCAAACTCCCAAGCTTGGAGCCAAGGAGTGATGGAACCGAACCACGGAGCAACTCCCGAGCATACAGCCCAAGGAGCCAAGGGACAGGAGCCTGGAGCGACTTGGAACAGTCCTGGAGCAACCAGCATCCTAATGCCAGGACTAGCACACAAAACGGAGCCAAACGGAGTCTGGCGCTATTTCGGCATACCGGTGGCCTAATGTGAGGATATGGGTACTCCACCAGCTAGCATGGAATGGAACTTGGGCTTAGACCCAAGCCGGACGCAGAACAAGGACAGGCACGCAAGCGGGAGCTAGACTATGCCTTAGGTTGG